TGCAGCATGGCTTTCTACTCAAAGAGTGTTTATTGTGTAGGGGAGGTGGGCACAGACAACAGATAATAATCACAATTCTGGGTTAAATACTAGATAAAAGGTGCTAAGTGATCTGGAAGAAAGAGAGGAGGGCAAAGGAGATCAGAGTGTTAGGTAGAAGGACAATTACAGTTTTAAGTAGGATGACTATGGAAGTCATCATTGAAAAGGTACATTTGAGTTTGAAGAAGGTCCAGAGAGGCATCTGGGAAAGAGCTTTCCAGGCAGAGGACAAAGGAAGAGAAGAGTTTCTAAGGTGCCAGGCATGGCTAGAGCACGTGAGTGAGGGGAGAGTAGTGGAAGCTGAGTTTTGCAAGATAATGGGGCCAAATCATGGGGGCCCATACAGGTCATTGTGATTACTTAGGCTTTTACTCTGTTAAAAACTGAAAAGTCACTGCTGAGTTTTGAGCACAGAAGTCGCATAATCAAATTATATTTTTTCAATGATTCCATTGGCTGCTGGGTTAATATTAGTTTGAAGGGGGAAAGGGTAGAAGCAAGAAATTCAAAGAAGGCATAAGGCAGAGACAGTAAAATGTGTGCATGAAAGCCTTCCAGTTTGTCCTGGGTATTTGTGAAGACACTTCACATTCTCTTTTTACAGTGAGGTGAGCATGATATGACTCGGTCACCATTTCCAGACTTGGCCCTAAAACCTGACGTGTGTTCTAAACTCTGATCCTTCTGCAGCAACCATTGAGACCCTGTGTTGTGGATGAAAACATTGTAGGGTGGAAGGAGCTGTCATCCTCAATGACAGCCTGGAGCACAACCACCCCTTTTCATGCCAACTGCACTGGATTGTGACTTGAGTAGTTTTGGAAACTATAAAAAAGAACAAAAAAGAATGTTTTGTACAAATTCCCTGTCCCTCTCTATTTCTTTCAACCTTGTTGGCAGTTATTGCTGAGATTCACTTCCTGTTTTTATTTTTCAAAGAAAGAAGAGCAGGGCACGGGTCAAATGCACCTCTTCTCCACATCTCTCCAACAGCTTCTTAAAATCATGCCGCTGTGCTATAACACTTTTCAACATCCCAGCATGCCTTGGGGGACCTAAGACACTTATGATGGAGAATCTCTAAGTCACTGTGTGCTGAATTTGGAAAATGACAACACTATAACAACAACAATCATTAAAATTAAAACAAATTTGTTTTCCCTTTCTTTCTAAAAATATATCAAATTATTGGCAACATTTCAGCATGTTTACTATTTGTTGGAATTCTTTTCTAAGCAGATTGTCATTCACTACACCAGTTCTTGAAAATTATTTAAACTCCCCACATCACCAAATATATATAGAGAGAAAGATAGAGAGATAGAAATAGATATCCTTTTACCTTCCTTCAGTTTGATGTTTTATCAGATACTTGTTTTTAGAAAATTTCAAAGGTAGAAACCCAATTAGCATTAATGATAGACAGGAAGTAAACTTTTCCCAAAGAAATTACCATAATTCTCCCTAGACAGCCTCTTGGATATAGAAAAGGGGAAATGGGTGATTAATATGCTTACTATGTGCTGGGACTACTCTGGGAACATTATTTAGAATATTTCATAAGTATCTTCAGCATTACTCTTAGCCAGCTTGTGGTTAAGATGGAAGGAGCCAGTGCTAGTATTATCTTCTCTGACAAATGATAAGCAGACACAAAGAGGTGACATGACTGTCACCAACCCACACTGCCAGGAAGAGCATATCCGGATGTGTGGGACACATCACTGCAGATGCTTTTGCTTTCTTTTCCTGGAACAGTCAGAGGTAGAGAAACACTGCAAAATTGATCCAGACCAACTGGGGGATGCCCAGCAGCTCAGCACTTTAGGAAACCACCATTGGATTCGGCCAGAACTGCGTGTGGATTTTGGTTTTGTCACTTTCTAGATGTAGTCCTTGACAATTTGCTCAATCTTCCCATGTGTCCTTAAACATCAGTAATGGTTATAATATATTTAACATAGTACTCTGGCTTATGATGAGTACTCATATTGTAGCCACTGTGTTTATTCTAGTACCACTAAAAGGTCTCCTGATTTTGAAAGGAGCATCCCCAGAGCATTGTGTGGACCATTTACAGACTTGTAAAATGTCCCATTTACCTACACCCTCAATATCTGCTGAACACTCTCAATAGGCAGTGACCATGGGTCCTTCTTAAAGGCCATAACAAGCTGAGTCAGGAGGATTCTTCAGGGGTTTAAGAGAGAATGAGAGAACTGACTCCTGGAAGTGGGAAGGGAATCACCATGACTATCTCCCATCTTTGCTGTTCTCCTTTCTCATAAGGGAGGGCTCTGTGAATGGGAGGGAGCAGCATCCTTGTCCACACTACACATCCTTTGCTCCCCCCCACCGTAGGCAAAGAGGGATGGATGGTAGGATAGCCATGTGAGAACCATGGAGCAAAGGTGGAAGACTAGAGGGCAGCAGGGAATCTAACTAGCACTGGTCAATTATCTCTTCTATGTAACCTGATGAGTTTACTGTCAGAAGGAATGCAAAAACAACAACAAAACATTTGTTTTTCATCTTCATCTCTGTGAGCTCCTATGGTGCAACTGTCAGAAAACACTTGCCCCAAAGATTTTATTTATTGTCAACTTTTGCATAGAATGGAGTAATTCCCATGGGATTTGGTAGGTAGGTTAGTGGAATGAGAAGATTAATAAATTATAGACATGTACTTTGTGCAAGGTACTAATGTATTGTACATTATTCCATTAGATCATTACAAAAGGTTGCCATCTTAGGCTATTTTCTGTTGCTATAACAGAGTACTTAAGACTGGGTTAGTTACAAAGAAAATAAGTTTATTTCTTCCAGTTCTTGAGGCTGGGAAATGGAAGAGCATTGTGCCAGCACCTGGTGAGGGCCTTCTTGCCATGTTATATGTGATGGTAGGTGAGAGCTCAACAAGAGAGGAAGTATTAAGGGCAGAGTTAGCTTTATAAAACCCACTCTGAGGATAACTAGCCCACTCGTGGCATAAAGGCATGAATCCATTCATGAAAGTGGAGTCCCCATGACGTAATCACTTCTTAAAGACCACACCTCTTAATACTGATACAATGGCACTTACATTTCAACATGAGTTTCAGAGGGGACAAGCACTCCAACTACAGCAGTAGCCATCCCCTTTTTAGATATAAGACAATCCTGTGTAGATTTCTGATTCTGACAGTTTCTGGCCATGTAACTTATATAAGTTACTCTAGCCTCTTAAGCACCCATATCTCTCTATTACATCTCCAAATATAAAACAAAAGCCATGGCATATGATCCTACCCTGCTGAGGGGACTCTAGGGTCTGTCTCTTATACACATCTAGATGTGTAGCAAAGAGGGATGGATGGTAGGATAGCCATGTGAGAACCATGGAGCAAAGGTGGAAGACTAGAGGGCAGCAGGGAATCTAACTAGCACTGGTCAA